AAATGATATTTGCATCTCACAAATACAAATGATACTATAATTTTTTAATAGTAAATGTTGTTTTTACACATCAATCCTTTAATCAAGATTGAGTATAGTATTTTTTTAATAGCAAATGATATTTGCATCTCACAAATACAAATGTAGATATAAATGATATTTTTAATAGTAAATGATATTACATCTCAACATTTTAGATTTGATTTTTTTAAAAATAAAAACACCATATAAATGCTGTGCGAAGATAATTAATATATTATTAAACAATAATCAAAGCATGGATGGGCATTACTACACATTCTGATGGGTACAATGTCACCAAACTGTCCGTGTAGATAATCCAGTAACTGGTACTTAACTTTTCTTTCCATCCAATAAGAGTTGCTCTCAAGGCTCTTCTCTCTCCTATAAATGAAGACAAAGATGAGAGAGTGCAAGGATAGAGAGTGCAAGTACGGAGGAAGACAATGCAATTGCGAGAGAGACTGCAAGTACATATTTGAAAGAAATATCGGGTAGAAGAGTAAAATACTGAGTTTTATAAAATTATACTGGTTTGAGTTGAATATTTATATTATTTTTTTAATAATATATAATTTATTATTTTTTTGAATATACTTGATTTTAGATAATTATATAAATTTACTTGTCTAGTTTTATTTGTATTTACTTTGTCTAGTATATATAACAAAAATATATATCAAGTTTTGATCAATAATATAGTGAGATTCATACACATAAAAGTTTTTTTTTTCATATACAATGCAATATGGTTTTATTAGTAAGTTTAAAATTTTACTTCAAACTTTCGTTTACCTTCACTGGTTTTCAGGAATTGGAAAACTTGAAGGGATATTCTTGGATGTTTCAAAAATAAGAGACATTGAGTTGAGTTCTGCAATCTTTGGAAATGATGTATAAACTTAGACTGCAAAAAATTTATAATTCTGAAGTTGGGGTTAAATGCAGAGTGCACCTTTCTCATGGTTTTAAGTCTTGTGTTAGAAAATAATATAAATTATATTTTAAGATCTCATCTAATAGTTTAAGTTTTTAGATGAAATGATTCTTTGATATAGTATCAGAACCTGGTTGATAAATAGTCTTAAGTTCGAATTTCATTATTCTTATTTATTTGATAAAAATTAAGTATAAGATAATATGAGCCTGTACAAGTTTCAAATCCAAAGAGATGCTATTTGACATTTGAAGGGTTGAGGTATCTCCATTGGGATGGATAACCTTTGAGATCTTTGCCTAGCAATTTTCGTCCAGAGAACCTTGTTGAAATTAACCTATCATCTAGCAAGGTTAACCAACTGTGGAGAGGAGAGCAGGTATTCTAAAATTAGTCCATGCATGCACAGTTCTTTCTTTGAAATTAAGTGCACGTGGTATGCACGTGTAATTTCTTTCTGTTGATTTCATTTTGCTTCAGAATCTCGTCAATTTAAAAGATGTCAACCTCAGCCATTGTGAGCACATAACTTTCCTGCCAGACCTTTCAAAGGCCAGAAACCTTGAGAGATTGAATCTTCAATTCTGTAAAAGTTTGGTTGAGTTTCCTTCATCTGTTCAGCATCTGGACAAGCTTGTTGATTTAGATTTGAGAGGCTGCAAAAGACTAATCAATCTTCCCAGTAGAATTAATTCAAGTTGTCTGGAGACTCTGAACCTTTCTGGTTGTGCAAATCTCAAGAAGTGCCCAGAGACTGCAAGGAAACTGACATATTTAAATTTAAATGAGACTGCTGTTGAAGAGCTTCCCCAATCAATGGGGGAACTCAGTGGACTTGTGGCGTTGAATTTGAGGAACTGCAACCTCCTGGTGAATCTTCCAGAAAACATGTATTTGCTGACATCTCTTCTAATTGCTGATTTCTCTGGCTGCTCTTCTATCAGCGGGATTCCCGACTTTTCGAGGAATATAAGATACTTGTACTTGAATGGAACTGCAATAGAAGAACTGCCATCTACAATTGGTGATCTAAGGAAACTCATTTATTTAGATCTAGTTGGCTGCAACAGGCTAAAGAATCTACCGAGTGCGGTTTCTAAGTTAGTATGTTTTGAAAAACTTGATCTTTGTGGTTGCTCAAGTATCACGGAGTTTCCAAAGGTTTCCAATAATATAAAGGAGCTGTATTTAAATGAGACAGCCATAAGATCTACGTGGAAACGATTTTTGGAGTATACCAATAAGCATCAATAAACTCTTTGAGTTGCAGTATCTCTTTGAGTTACTGGAGCTTCCACCACGGCTATCAAAGTTGGGTGTAGACAATTGCACGAGTTTCAGAACAATATCAAGCTCATCAACTGTAGCTGAGGGGAACATTTTTTAATTAATTTTCACTAATTGCTTCAGCTTGCCTGTGATCAATAATATCTTGGCGTAATTATTATTTAAATTTCAACTTAAAACCGAGATAGAGTTAAGTGCAGTCAATTATCTGATTTCAATATAATTTTTTTCATATCAAATTCTGCCACAGGATTTGCTGCAGAATCTGTTATTAGAAGACCAATAATCTCTCAAGGTTTTTGAGAGTTTTTTTATTCATTTCAAGTTCTTTGTAAGCCTTTAAATAGGCATTTTAAATTAATTAAAAGTATTGATCTTTCTACTCAACTATGCTCTTTAGTATCTGTTTTTCTATACTCAAAATAGTGTTTCTGAAACTTAAGATTTCTTTTAGTGGAGCTTAAGATCTCTAATAGTGATACCAGAGCTTCTAAATCCTATGGGCTGTGAGGGAAGCATTTTCTTTCTTTTAGTTGATAAAAACAAAGAGGGTAAGGTAAGTATTCTAAGTGCTAAACACAAAGAGGATGAGCATAAATACTAATGAGTTATTTTCCTTCTATTTTTTTTTATCAATGTCTTCTTTAAGCAATATTGCGTATGCAATTCTAATGTTTAGTGGTGAATTCTATCATATTTAAGCTATTAAAATAAGATTTTATCTAAGATCTCAAGGCTTATGGAATGTTGTGGTGATTGATTCTCATCTACCACAATTGAATGCAAATCCTACAATTGCTCAAATAAAAGCACATGAAGAAGAAAAACTCAAGAAGGACAAAGCCATTACCTGTCTACATTCTGGACTTGCAGATCATATTTTCACGAAGATAATGAATCTAGAAACATCAAAACAGGCATGAGATAAACTCCAAATTGAATTTGAAGGGAGCAATACAGTCAAAATAGTGAAGCTTCTTGCATTTAAAAGGACATTTGAGTTGATGAAGATGAAAGACAATGAATCTATTAAATATTATTCTGGTAGATTAATGGATGTTATAAATCAAATGAGACTTTAAGGAAATACATTTAAAGATCATAAGGTAATAGAAAAACTTATGATGTCTCTACTATAAAAGTTTAAAGCCAAGATCTCTATAATAGAAGAATCTTGTGATTTGCAAAATCTCACTATTGCAGAGTTAATTAGCAAACTTCATGTACAGGAGCGAGGGTTCAAATGAGAGATGATGAGGCTATTGAAGGAGCTTTTCAAGCAAACAATAAGGGAAAGACATGTATATCTTCAAAAAGACAGATTTTCTCACCTTGCTCTTATTGCAAAAGAACTAACCATGCTGAGAATAATTGCTAGTTTAAGGGTAAACCTTCTCTCCAGTGTATGTTTTGTAATAATCTTGGCCATAATAAGAAATATTGTAGAATCAAGAAGAAACAATCACAACAACAAATACAACAACAAGCAAATGTTTCTGAAGAAGGCAAAGATGATGAGGAGCATCTGTTTATGGCATCACAAGCTAGCAATACCTCTGAATTGAATACATGGCTTATAAACAGTGGTTGCACTAGTCATATGTCTAAGTTTTTGTCGATTTTTTCTTCTATTGATACATCAGTTCAACCAAAGATCAAGTTGGGAAATGGAGATACTGTGCAGGCTAAGGGAAAAGGCATTGTTGCGGTCAACATAAATAGAGGTATTAAAACCATCACAAATGTTCTTTACGTTCCAAAACTAGATCAAATTTTTTTTTAGTGTTGTACAGATGCTAAGAAATGGTTATGAAGTCTCTTTTAAAGAGAGATTTTGCTTTATCATTGATACACATGATTCAGAGATAACAAAAATCAAAATAGATGGTAATAACTTTGATTTAAAGCTCAATGCTGTTGATATAGTCAAGAACTTCAAGCTTGAATCATGCAAAGAAATAGCAACTCCATTAACATAAAATGAGAAGATTTCAAAGAATGATGTTGGTTTGCTATCAAGGTTCATAAGCTCACCTAGTAATATTAACATGGGAGTTGCTAAAGTACATTAGAGGAACAACTAACCTTGGCATCTAATACTCAAAGACAGGAGGAGAAAATTAATTGGATATGCAGACAATGACTGAGCAGGGAGTGTTGATGACCTGAAAAACACTTCTAGATATGTTTTCAACATTAGTTCAGGTGCAATATGTTATAATGCAAAAAAGCAAGAGGTGGTGGTACAATCAACTATAGAAGCAGAGTATATCTTGATGGTAGCTACTACAAATCAAGCGATTTGGTTAAACAAGTTGGTTGTTAATTTGGGTTAAGAACAAAACTCACCAACTAAGCTTCGTTGTGACAACAAGTCTGTCATTGTCATTACTCAAAATCTAGTTCAACATGGTAGAATTAAGCATATCAATATAAAATTTCAGTCCATAAGTGAAGTTGAGAAGAATCTACTTATAAAGCTTTATTACTGTCCAGTTGATATTCAACTTGTTGATATAATAACTAAAGTATTTCCTAGATCAAGGCTGAAATTTCTAAGGATAAAGTTTGGTTTGTCCAAGAGAAGTCTCAAGAAGGAGTGTTAGAATCTATTTATGAGAATCTACCTTGAAGATAGAAGATAAAGTTAAGTGCAGTTAATTATTTGAATTTCAATGTTATTGTTTTCATATCAGATTCTGCTGCAAGATTTGCTGCAGAATCTGTTATTAGAAGACGAATAATCTCTCAAGGTTTTTGAGAGTTTTTTTTATTCATTTCAAGTTCTTTGTCAGCCTTTAAATAAGCATTCTAAATTAATTAAATTAATTGATTTTTCTATTCAACTCTGCTTTTTAGTTTTTGGTTTTCTATACTCAAAACAGTGTTTATGGGACTTAAGATTTCTATAAGTGGAACTTAAGATCTCTAACAAGGTTATTCCATCAGGTCTGTTTCTCAAACCTCTAATATACATCTTTTTTTTTTTCTATTTGCCACCTTTCATTTTAAAACAATGCTATTTGAATTGTGTTAACAGCTGCCCGACGTTCCAGAAGGGACATGTAGTTTCTGCCTCCTTGGAGTTGTGACTCCGAAGTGGTTTAGGCATCAAGTTGGGGATCTACAGTAACATTCCAGCTATCTTCATATCGGGCTAGTAGCGAGTTCTTGGGTTTTTCTCTTTGCGCTGTCATTGCATTTGATTCTTTCAGCCATTGTTTGTAAGTTAAATGCACATATCACTTCCGCAATAAGGATGGTGATAGCCATGATCTCTATTGCTATATCCATGGTTGGTATGATGAGAGGCGCATCCACTCAGAAGACATTCATGGGATTTAATCCTTGTTTGGTTGCCAAAGAAAAGGATATGTTTAGTGAATATAGTGAGGTCTCAATTGAATTCCAACCGGAAGATATGAATGGTAATCTCTTACCATTAGATCTTTATCAAGTGGTTGAGTGTGGGGTTCGTCTCCAAGCCAAGAGAGCAATGGTGGTAGACGTGAGATGGGAGAATGGTTTTGACAATGGTACTCTCCAGAGAAAAAAGAGAAGGCAGGTTTCACGGTATAAATAATTTAAGAATTATTTTGACAAGGATACAGGGGCGAATTGCTGTCGAGTAGTCCAAGAAAATTTTAAGATGAGAATTGGGTTATTCTTTTATTTATTTTTATCAGTGATGGTGTTCATTACCAATCTAAGATTAATGTATTCTTCTTTCCCTTTTGCATAATTTGACAAAATTCAAACTTTGATGGATGAAATGAAGAGCAAATCTGCTTAACTTTAGACTCAAGTCTAGAAGAGTGCAAGCACATATCTTTTAAACAAAACTTTAATATATTATTGTTAAAATTTAGTCTTCCTAGTTTAGCAAAGCTAATTATTTTTTACTAGAATTGAAACGGGTTAATTAAGTCATTTGCTAATGAAATATACCTTCTTTTCCCATATTTGTTTTTGCATCCTATGTACTTAAATTTTTATTTTTATTTTTAAAAAATTAAAAAAGAATGAAATTAATAAAATAAGATTATGTTATTTATAGATTTAAAATTATAGTGATTAAATAATTATATTTTAATATGAAAACAAGCTTTTATTTTCTTGCAAGCATTTTTTTTGTTTTTTATTTTAATATTGTACTGTTCAATGTTAGCATAGAATGGAAGTCCCGTCATTTCGTAGAACAATTGAAGTGTATTGAAGTATTGTAATTAAGAATTGAAATTATGATATACTATAAAAAAGTAAAATACCTGTTTTTTTTAGATATTATCTTAAAAGGTAAATAGCTTAATATATCATTATATCATTATACCAATATGTCTACGTTTTCAAATATGTTTATTGTGTATTTCCTTGATTTTTTTTAATATATCATTTTAACAAGGTTTACCAATCAATTTGATAAAATTTCATTTCATATTGAAAACGCTCTTACACTACACTGGAGCATGGTTTTATTTCTTTGAAAAAAATGAATTTTTTATTTTTAAAATCTTTTATTCTTAAGTAATTTTTTGAAATTTTAATTTTTAAAAAACATATAATCAATTTTAAGCAAATATTTCTGATAAAATGTTTCATCAGAAATAAATATTTCTTCATTTAAACATATAAAAATTTCAAACAAACAATAAAGGTTGAGAATGTAGTAAAAATTATTTTTTAAAATACTTTATGTTTTTTTAATTTTTTGAACAAATATTTCTAAGTTTAAACATATAAATATTTTAATATTTTAAGCAAATAATTTAAGAGTGTGGTAAAAATAAGTTTTTAAAATAATTTTTATTTATAAATATATTAAAATAATATATTTTAAAAAAATATTATTTTTAAAATAGTATTTCAAAATAATTTTAAAATAAAAAATATTTTCTTGAAAAAAAATAAAAAGTTAAAGAGTTGGGGCGACCATTAGTTAGAAGTTTTTTTTGGCTCATCTTTTTAATGATTACATCTCAGTTTTTTTATTCTCATCTTGACTACATTCACAATCACACATGTGAGTTTTTAATAGTTAAAAAAGTATTCTTGGTTGCTTTTGAGATTTGAAAGAAACTTGGATATACGACAACTCATCAGTATTTTGATTATTAATTATTATTTTAAGTTAATCTTTGATGTTTTAAATTTAAAAAAAATCAATTAATAATATAATTTTATAATTATATTAAATTAAATAATTTGTTGAGATATTAATAGCGTTAAAGTTTTAGTTAAGAGAGAGATCAATGACATTTGACATTTTTTTTTTCAGATTTTAAAAAATATTTTTGAGTATATAGATATTTTAACAAATGATAATAAATTTTTTGAATAATCTGAAAATAATAAGATATATTAAAAAAATTAGATTTTATACGAATTATTTTTAAAAAATTTAAAGATATGTCTCCTTCGCCAGTAAACTACTTGACCAATAGTTAGGAATTGTCTTCCCTTTTAGCCCCAACATTGCCGTTCCGTTCCAAATTTAATGCGTCCTCAGTGATAGAAAAGTACGAGGCATTGACATTTGACTCCCCCAAGTCTTCTTTGCGTATCCATTTTCCATGGAAGAGATCATCTTGTGACGTTCTCGGTCCCTTGTTGGAAACAAGAATCAGTGTTGTTTTTCTTCTATGGTTTCTTGGCTGACTGAAACATCAAACAAGAAAGTTGCTGCTGGCCCCCTCTTACCTTCTTCCCTGCATCCACTCTGTAAGTCCAAACTCTTTTCTTCTTTCCACTTTGTAGTATTCAAATTGATGCTACCGTTAGTTTTGAGGTTTGAGATTGGGTCTGTTTTGTTTGTTTCTTTATTTCAATTATCAACTCTCTCTGGGTTTCTT